ATTTTACCTTTTGAAAATTACCTTGTGATACTTTTAATGTGCAAAATGTGCTGTATAAATACAGTGTTTTATTGCATATTGTCATTGTTGGAACAAAACTATTTTGTATTCTTGATTTTTTTTCATATAGTGGTTTACAACAGGTTCTTCTGTCTCCTGCAAAGTTACGATTTTGGAGATATGCAGTTTTGCTATGACAGTGAAAATATGCTGTACTTCAGTAAAGACATAACTGAAAACAAAAAATAAGCAAATCATTCTTGTTACAGAGACAATTTACACATTTTGAGGAAGGTGGGGTGTAGCTGTCACTAAGTGGGTGTTAAATACATGGCATGACTCATCTAAGTGCACATCTGTAGAACTCAGGTGAGAGTGAATACACTCAGCTTCTGTACCACTGTTATATTACCTGAGTGTGTGTGAAGGAGAAAAGGATTAGCAGGTTCTCCTCACCCTGCCCTGAGGGTCTCCTGAACAAAGATGAGTACATTGTCTATAGTGTCTACAATGAGTCGGAGACTGGAGTTATGTTACCTGTAACCTAGCAATATAAACACACAGTGGGGGAGTCAGACACCTGAAGACGTCACATTCAGTACTGTCAGGTTGATCTGTCTGTAATTTTCCTGGAGTGGCACACCCAGTAATTAGCCTTATAGCAGAGCAATATAGAGTTTAAAGTTAATAATAACAGTGTGTGCCAGTAAGGTCCCCAAGTTTTATTAAGAGCATGTGCCAAAAAAGTCTCCAAGCTTTGGTAACGTGCCAAAAAGTTTTAGTAACAGTATGTACCAATAAAGTCCCCAAATTTTAGTAACAGTATGTGCTAATAAGGTCCCCAAACTGCAGTAACAGTATGTGCCAGTAAGGTCCCCAGGTTTCAGTGATAGTATGTGCTAGTAATGTCCCCAAGTTTCAGAAACAGTGTGTGCCAGTAAGGTCAACAAGTTTCAGAAACAGTGTGTACCAGTAAGGTCAACAAGTTTCACAAACAGTGTGTACCAGTAAGGTCAACAAGTTTCAGAACCAGTGTGTGCTAGTAAGGCCAACAAGTTTCACAAACAGTGTGTGCTAGTAAGGTCGCCAAGTTTAGTAATAGTATGTGCTTGTAAGGTCCCCAAGTTTCAGTAATAGTATATGGTAGTAAGGTCAACAAATTTCAGTAATAGAATGTTCCAGTTAGCACACCAATTTTTAATAACAGTATCAGTAAGACAGGGGTGTCCAGAGTCCAGCCCCAGGGCCAAATATGGCCTCCAAACTGATTTCAATTGCCCCATGGCTTCTGTATAAGAGGATGTGATAAGTGGCCTGTCAGCAGTTTTTTTCACCTGATGGTTGTAGTGTAATGCACTGCTATGTGGTAACAAACTTACCAAAATTTAAGAACATTCTTCTCTGACTAGACCTTCAGCTTTTACTGAATGTCATTTAGTCAAGATTACAGCCTTAAAGCACAAATTTAAACACTTTTTCATCAAAAGCTACAGCAAATGCACGTGTTTCAATTTTAAAACATTGTTATGAATTTATTATCGATAGACATGAAACAAATCATAGACATTACAATAAATATTCTGGGAGGTGAAGACAAAGAAACTAAAGCAACGTCTTATCAGAGAAAATTCAGTAAATATAAACTCGTTGATGTCAAACAATAACATCGGTATTTATGCTGTTTAATCTGCTCTTCCTGTTTAAATAAAGTAATTTCTAAATGCATTTACTGCATTTATTTGATATGTAAGGAACTTTATCTAACAAAATCAAAAAAATATAGATTTTTGTTTAGTTTGTCTCACAAATTATATTTTTGAACAAGTACATACTAGAATAGGAATATACTTAATAGACATTTATTGTTTTTACTCTTGAAGAATTTAATTATTTGTTATAAATGCTTACTGATCCAAACTGGTATGAGCAATCCAACTATAAAAGAAGTCATGTGCATCTTTAGTAGAGTGACAGGAAACAAAGTGGCACACAGATAGCTCTGATTCGATGTGCTGATATTTTGAAAACGTAATATTTTTAATCATTTCTGAATATTATTTTGAGCCTCAGGTATTTTGACATGGCAAGATCTGGCCTTCTTTGAAAAAAAGTTTGAACGCCCCTACAGTAAGGTCTCCAGGGTTCAGTAAAAGTATGTGATAATAAAGTCTCCAGATTTTGGTAACTCCTGTATGATCACTATATTTGGCAGTATGATCCCCAAGTTTTAGTAATAATATCTGCTAGTATGGTCCTGTGTGCCAGTATGGTCCTGAAGTTTTAATAACAGCTTGTGCCAATAAAGTCTCTATGTATATGTGGCGCTGCTATGCAGAATATTTGAAGAGTGGTAGGCCATGCGTCTTAAAAGTGTCTGGGTTCCAGTTGCTGACTGGGGTTTAAGTAAATAATTAATCAGATTTCTCCATTATTCAACTATTCTTTTGTTTAAGAAAGAGTAAAAAAGTCTACCTTTGCATGCAGAGCCCTGTAGTTACAGACAAAAATTACCAATTCATGTTCCAAATTCAGAAACTCTAATTTAAAGCGAAAACAAATTTGCTTCCTTTTGCTGTATTCATATACAACACGTTCCAATAAAGTTCCTAAGGATTTAGTAACAGTATGTGCCAGTACCACGTTTCAGTAACAGTGACGGTATGGTACTAGAGTATCTAGTGTAGCACTATTTAACATAAAAGCCAATGAAACAATAATGTCAAAGTATTTAAAGCTGCCAGCTGGTGTAGCTGAAGGATGCTGGGTGCAGTAAAAAGTTTAGGCACACCAGATTTACTAACGATTTCATTGATCTTACATTTGAAGCTAAATGCTTAAATGCTTAAGATTTGTTTAAAAGAATAACATACATCAATGACTATGTGAATTCATCCCTAAATTTAATTCATGAACATATATTGTTATGACTAGTACTGTTTGAAAACAGGCCTATATTTCCTTGTGTCTTGCCTGCTGACAAAACCAGCCCCAATGACAATTTAAAAGCATTTGAGATATATCTTTTTATTAAAAGTACAATAATAACAAATACAATGAAGTATATAGTCGACAAACATTTTGGATTCAAAGAAAAATCATACAGAATATATACCTCTGCTGTCAGAATAAAACCTCGTATCTCCATTACTGTCGTTTTTCAGTTTTGACATAATTTAAAAGTGTCTGATGCCCTTTAGATTGTGTGTAAGTTTCATGATGAATGCACCTAAAGAAATGGCCCAAAATGAGTTGGGGAAAAAAAAAACTCTGGTTCCACAGATTTACATTAAAAGTAGTTTTTTTTCCTTCTCCTGTAACATTATCATTTTGGAGATGCAAGGTTTTCTTCTGAGAGCAGCTGACCAGATTTAAAGCATACCAAACACAACTAAGCGCAACGACACAGAATAAGCAAGTTAACACAATCGACAAGTAACACAAGCACAATAATGCATACTACTGAAAGTTACCTCAACAATTTGCTGATAAACTTTAAATGAGATTCTTTTCTCAAGGATGAAAAAGTATCTTTTAGCTGTCAACTGAAGGATAATCAATATGAATACCTCAATGAGAAGCCTACTAATGATCATAAATGATGGCCATTTCTTATAATGATGTTTACTTCTAACAAATGAATGAGAGCATCTAAAAAAGTGAAATGTGTCTGTTTTTTGAAACTGAATTAACTGAACTATACTGAAATGTTAATAGATGAAAGAACCTGTCTGATCTATGTAAAAATGACATGCTGAGCTCTATCATAGCTTTGCCTTCATAGTTATACTCCAAATATTAATGGAGATCACAGATTAGAAGGCATGCAAAGGCTTGCTCTTTCAAACAAATGCAACAGCAACTGCTAACTGAATGTACTATACAAGATCTGAAAAAGCCCGTTTTTACAAATATTTCCCTTTTAAAACCCCTTCCCCTTCACCTGTCTGTAGTATAAAAATACATGGCTATTGTATTTTAAAAAAAGTCTGCCAGCAGTTTTGCCTCCATTGAGCCTTTGCAAAGAGATAAATGAGTACATTAGCATTACTCGCTACTCTTACAAAAAATCGGTAGCAAAATAGACTCTGGGGTAGAAATTTGCATCTTTGAAAATAGGCATGCATTAATCTATAAAATATATTTACAAACTGTTTATTCTTGGGTTAATCCCAACCAAGAGTACTCCTCAGACGAGCTGGACATGATGTGAAATGTGAAACGTCATGCAAAGGCACACTCATTCAGTGGACTTTAGTGGAGTGGAAGGGAAGGAGTGTGAAGACATTCACAGATAACTGCGAGGAAACAGTATCATGGCTTCATGGTTTCAGCATGAGCTGAACTGCCTACATTAAAATTGATTTAAGCCATAAACACCAATCTCTATAGCTATTTTTGTTGAAAATTATAGTTTGACTTTTTTATATATTTACATTTGAAGATACCTAACGGATGCTTTAGCACACACAAATGTAGCTAAACATGATTGCATATCTTTCCTTATGTCATTAGTTCTTGCATTCAGAGCTCTTATCTCTGCATCACAGAGATCTTATTGTACTTTAAAGAAGAATCCCACTGCGGTATGCATTAAGATGTAAACAAAGTAATTTAGAGTGGTCTGATGTGACCTGCATGATTCAAGAGAAACTTTCTGACTTCCTGTGGTGGTGATACAATAAGGGGTAGTAGTGTTTAAAGGGGAATTCCACTGTTTTTCCAGAATTTCTGCATAATTAAACTGTTAAGAACAAAGTCATTCAGAGTGTTTTGTTATGAAGGTCTTAATTGTAGAAAGAATTTCCAAGTCAGAATTTCTTCAAAGCGACCTCACAGAAAGTTACTTGAAATGGTTATCGATACGCTGCCTGATGCCTTTTACAATTGTTTGGTAGTTTATAAGGTTTTGGCCAAAAACATATTTTTAGAAAAAACATTCAGGGCGTTGTAATGCAAAACAATACCCTGAGAATTCTTTTTCAGATATACCACTTTTTTTAATTAACATTATATAGAAAAATGTAGATGCACTGGTAATTTTTAACATAAAACTTCTGCTGTTGTATATTCATGATGTAGTCACTGTGACTCCGGTTCCTATCACCACAACTGCAAAGAGATAGTAAATTTCTCAACAATAAACCATCTCACATCAAGTCACTCTAAACGGCTTTGTTTACATCTCAAAAACTCGATTTATGCAGAAAATCTGAAAAAAAGGTGGAATTCAGCTTTAATGTCTGTAAAAGCTACCGCACAGAAAGATATTAAGCAAAATGGTTACAATTACTTTGAGTTATGCGTGACTTTTACTATAGTCTTGTGATTCAGTTTTGTCCTAAACCTTTTTTTTTAATAATTAATTTAAATACATTTATTGTAGAGAGGTATATGCATGAAACTTTGCAGGAAACCTTTTTTAATCTCTATTTTATCATTTATCTTATTTATTGTGCTGTAGATATCATAACCCCTGGTTTCTCTATAATGTACTATTTCACATCAAAACATTTTGAATTATGTTGTTTATGTCTTCAGCAATTTAAATCATTGGGTGGAACTCCCCTTTAAAATTAGGATATGTATAACCTGTACATGAAGCTAAGGAAGCATAAGAAGAGCAAGAAGTACAGGTGTGGAATGTTACATGGCCACAGCAGGGTGGCTCAGGGCGTTCTGTGAGCAGGGAATAAAGCCTTTCTTTTATACAATATAATGCAATTTAATCCCAAAGTTGTCACAAAGTACTGAGGTTGGTGATCAGTACACAGTCATTTGCAAGTGGCCAGCAAAATGAAGAAGAAAATTAAATCGACACTGAACGAAAAGTATTCTAAAAGAAACTGTGCGTTGAAAACTGAATGCTCTTTAACCTGGTAAAGGTAATGCCCATTTCACTTGTTCACTAAACATCCTTCACCAAAAGACTCTGTAACACTAAAATGAGGATAAGCCAAGCATGGATTTCAGGTCCAAAGCTACACACCTTCCACACAAGAGTGTGTGTAGGTTCTTCCTTGCAGACAGACCTATCTGAACTCAATGGGAGGGCAGGCAGACACACACACACAGCAGAGACAGCTGGGCCACAGATTAAACTGCTACCATAAGCACATCTTAAGAGAATGTGCACACGAACACACGCACCCAGCGAGACTTGGCATGGCTCCATACAGACAGATTAAAAACTACTACAGGAGGAATAACAACCTTTCATCCTTCAGCCGTCTACAATTGCCACCCCCCCACCCTCAGCTCAGCCCCATACTGTTTTCCTAAAGCAATATAATGCATACAATAGAATATCTGCTTACATGCACAGCTGTGCTAAATGTGTTACTATGTGCTCGTACAGTCACCTTTGAAGTGTTCCAGTGAAATGTAACAGTTAATGGTTAATGTCGGTAATTCCACTTTAGCATCCCAAGGCACTGACCAATTATGGCTCTAGATAAGCTGCGTTTTTCACTCACTTAGTGACCTTTGTCCAGTTAGATCTCTTAAGGACTTCCCTGGCAAAACACAGGGTTGAATATATTTAAACACTGAGGGTGTTGTTTTTCTCAGACAGAAGGAAGGCTTTTTTTTTAACACATAGAACGCATCACGAGGATCTCTCCTGTTCAATCACATTATCATGTAAAATATGATACATACAACAAGGGGTTTCTTCTATCATTTTGTTAAAACCAAAACAAAAATGCCCAAAACATAAAGACATTTGAACTGAAATTTATAAAACTTCATTAATATTTCACTGTACACAGAAAGCACTTGACTTGTTCGTACATTAATCAAGTGTGTCCTAATACACCTGTTGTGGTATGCAACAAAACAGTGCCTAAGACAAGAAATAAGGGTACTGTACACATGCTCAGCAACCAAAATGGCTCTAAATACCGAAATCTCACAAGCTATAAATGATGCTCCTAATAAATGATATGGGCATTATGTAAAAAATATAAACAAAAATAGTACTGTTTACTGCACACTTCCTCTTTGAGATGAATGTGTTACTGAAAGTGCTACTGAAAGAGGGTGTGTGTTGTCAGGTGAGACTGTGGATTCCTATTGGCTGATGGGTTTCAGGGTCATTACCCTCGGTTCCCATTGTAACCTTTTTTCAGTTCCAGTTCTAGTTTTGGACTGGGTACTTCTGGTGTTGTTTTTTGAGGGAAGGCATTTCCTAGGACACGCTGGAGCAGCGGATGGTGGGGGAGCCCATCTGGGTCAGCACCTTGTCCAGCCACTGCAGGGGTCCGTTCAGGTGCAGCTCTATCCAGCAGGGGGTGCTAGTCACTGTCTGCCGCCTAGGAAGGAGAGGAAGGCAGAGACATGGTGAGGAGACCAGATGAAAAGAAAAGAGCACAAGTGAAAATCAAAGGCAATTATTTGTTAATATTTAGCTGCATGAGGCTTCACTCACTGAGGAATACCTACTTGTTTCTACACTCATTATATCAGCTCTACTTACCATATAGGTAGTTGTAAAATAAGTTCTAAAATTACAGACTGTAGTTCATCTGTTTCTCTGCATACTTTGTTAGCCTACTTTCACCCTGTTCTTCAGTGGTCAGGGTCCCCAAAGGACCACCACAGAGCAGGTATTATTTGGGTGGTGGTCATTCTCAGCACTGTAGTGACTTTGACATGGTGGTGTCATGTAATGTGTATGAGTGGATCAGACACAGCAGTACTGCGAGAGTTTTTAAACACCTCAGTGTCACTGGACTGAGAATAGCCCACCAACCAAAAATATCCAGCCAATAGTGTCCTCTGGACAGCGTTCTGTGACCACTGATGAAGAACTAGAGGATGATCAACACAAACTGTGCAGCAACAGACGAGCTATCGTCTCTGACTTTACATCTACAAGGTGGACCGACAAGGTAGGAGTGTCTAATAGAGTGGACAGTGAGAGCACACAGTGTTTAAAAACTCCAGCATCATTACTGTGTCTGATCCACTCGTACCAGTGCAACATACACTAACATGCCACCGCCATGTCAGCGTCACTGCAGTGCTGAGAATGATCCACCACCCAAATAATACCTGCAATGTGGTGGTCCTGACCATCGAAGAACAGGGTGAAACTGGGTCAACAAAATATGCAGAGATACTGATGGACTACAGCCTGCAATTGTAGACTTACAAAGTGCAACTATGTGGTGAGTGGAGCTGATAAACTGGACAATGAGATAATAAAGTGCTAGGTGAGAATATATATGGAATCACACTTCACTTCATTACTCCATAATTACATAAAGGGGCCCGACCAATAAGCACATTTCGTTAGCAGTATCGATTTCTATGAGCAAAAAATAATGCTGATAATCAGGAATATTAGCTGCTATAGTTTCATGGTCAAAATGAAATTTTTCTTCCACATTGTGACATTTCACCAAGTGAAACATATTATCAGGGATGATAGGTTGGGGTAAAGTGAGGTGAAACATGATTTTGGTGCATGGTGATGTAGTCAATAATCAGTATACCTTTCAGAGGTGGACACAAAACATGCCAATCTTGACTTCAGGTTGACTTTATACAGTGCCTTACTGACTGATATGATCATCAACTATCAACTAAATATAATTAAACTCAAATAAACAGCTGAAACTCTGTCTTAAACAATATTAATACAAAACCAAATCATTATAACTTACCCTTATAAATGGAAAAATGACAAGAACTCTTACAACGCTGAACTCTAAACCAAACTAATTTAAAATACACTGTAGAAAATTGATTGTTTTATCTTAAAAATAAGTAACCTGTCTGCCCTCACATTCTGAGCAAACTTAGATATTAGGTCAAAAAAACAATAATCAGTGTTTTACATTCTGTTAATTTATCATTTGAAGTTCAGAATTTTAAGAGAGCCTGATTACTTATTTTTCCAAGGAAGAGTATACATTGTCTTTTCTAGTTAACAAAAGCACCTCACAAATTAATTTTCTTATATTACACTTAAAGAAACATTACTGATGCTTCATTGATGCTGGTAAATTTAAGGGAGCTTAATATTTGTTAATTTTATCAACCAATTGATATCAGTCAGGCCCTACTATACATACTGGTTTTATAGTAGTTAAAGTAAATTTATAGTAGTTAGAATAATAAAGGCCTCGGTAAACACTAAGCAAAACTTTGTCAAGTGTGCATGAAGCCTAAAACTCCTTCTCAAGCTTACAAGCTTGAATACTCTATGTGGTTTTGTTTGGCTGTCTCGTCTGAACTGACCAATCATAGGCTTTGTCACATAGTGTGTTCATCCGGTTGGTTTTCTCTGCAATTACATCATACTGTTCGCCAAAGCCAGATGAACATCGTCTCTGCAAGAAGGACTCTAGTCTTAAGATTAATAAATGAATAATTAGACTTCAGGGGTTTAATTTCCATCTAATAATCTCCAATTATATAATTAGGGTTTTAAAGCAGCAGGATCTGAGACAGCTGATTGGGCTACAGTGACAGTAGCAGTGCAGAGGCTGCCAGGCTGTCTGGATTTGAGCTCTGTGTGCGTAAACTCGCCTCTGCAGGATCCGCACACACACACACGACTCCAGCCTCAGAGGACCACCATCACTGCCAAACACACTCCTACATTCCATACTGCTGACACAATACCTCAGACTCTTTCTATTACACACACACAGACACGTGTGCGGACACACAGAGAACTTCTCCCAGGGACTCCATCTAATGCCACTCACATTGTGTTCTATTCTGCCAGTGTCCCTCCCTCTCTCTTTAACTCACTCTCTGCCTCTCACCCACCACCACTCTCACCATCTCTCTCACACACACTGCTCTACTTTCTTTCTCTCTTTTAGCGTGCATTTAGACTTGGCAGATTTGGTTTGATTAAAATGAACTCCGCTGTCATTGATATTAGTCTGGTTCGTTAGAGCAAGTAAGAATGCTGCCATCCGAACTTTGGTCCACACCAGAGAAGCAGACCCAGACCCCCCGAACAGTTTGGTCTCTGTGTGCTTGAAAACTAACTCTGGTACGGTTCGTTTGAAGTATAAATGCAATACGGTCCAAAGACATCTAAATGGACCAAAGACAGAATGAACCGTTGTCTGCTCTAAGTTCTTTAGCATATGGAAAAGGGCTTCCGATGCTGTTTTGGCATGTGCATGTGCTTTATTGTCTCTTCATAAGCTCTGAATCGGTAATTAAACTTAGATAGTTTCAGTTTTAAAACAAGTGTAAGGCATGATTAAAGTCATTAAGGTGCTAATGTTTCTCCATTTTGTAAAAGCAGTAAGCCACTTAAGGCTGTGTTACAGGGATTTCACCCTGCTTTGCATCACGAAAAACAAAACAGTAACACAGCGAGTCTCAAGGCTTATTGCTGTAATATCACAAGACAGATAAAACAAAACATAAGTAAAAGCAATGAGCCCAGATAGAAGAGAGAATAGTATGATTTGGAAAGTTCAGTGGACATTACCACAGTTACTGTACGTCATCAAAAATGTGCCCAATCATTTGTGGCTTTTCACTTGTGTGGTTTGATGTTAAATGTGTCAGTCTGAGTGCTCAGCAAATCAGTACTAAAATGCGACCATGTACCATTTTCTGCCCTGGTCCAGATCAAGGTAACAAACTACAAGTGTAAACACACCTTACTCATTCCTTCACACTCCTTCTCTTTCTCCTTCACACACTCCTTTTCTCTTTTGCCTCTTTTGTCTTCACATACTCCACTTTCTCACATACTCCTCTCTCCCTTCCATACTCATCTCTCTCCCTCTCTCTCACAAACACACTGCTCTCGCTCTTAAACACTCTCCTCACTTTATCTCTCTTTCACACACATACTCCTCACTCATATACTCTTTCTTTCTCTCACATACTCCTATCACTCTTTCACACTCCTCTCTGTCATACTCCCCTCTCTTTAACTGTCTTTCACTCTCACTCACTCTTTCATGGTCTTTTATAGACTCACTTGCACTCTCTTTGTTTACATACTCCTTTGCACTTGCTTTCCTTCAAAGATACTTTCACATACTCCTTCATTGTCTCTCTTTTACATACTCCTTCAAAGTCTCTCTCTTTCTCGTTTACATACTCCTTCAAAGTCTCACTCTTTCTCTTTTACATACTCCTTGGCCCTGTCTTTTTCTATTTTGAATACTGCTTTAGAGTCTCTCTCTTTTACATACTCCTTCAGTCTCTTTTTTTCTTTTTTTACACACTACTATTCCTCCATTGTCCCACTCTGTCTCTCTCCCACTCTTTTTCTTCAACACATAGTCCTCTCTCTTTTTTTCTCTCTCTTTCTCTCGCTCTCTCTCTCTTCCTCATTGTGGTTTCCGTTTTGTGCACCTAATTGACTGTAATAGCGGCTTTTACACTTCAGGATATGTTTCAACAAAGAGAAGCTCTCTCTCTTTTCCTCCCTGCATGTCTCTCTGGCTCCATCTTTACAGATACTTTCTGCGAGTCTATCTCTCAGTGACTCTCAGCGACAGCCTTCAGCTGCCAGCAGATCCTCCACCGCTGCTGAAATGGCCAGTGAAGAAATGCTGGGGAAGCAGAGGAAGTGTGAGGTGGTTTTGTAGGGATAGAGTGAGTAGAACACTGAAGGAAGATGAAAGACAGAATAAGTATGGGAGTCAGAGAAAAGGACTCAGACTTTATCCCCCTCTCTTCAGGTTAAGGCTTTTCTACTTTAAATTATTCTTTTCAATGTGTGAGGAAGAGAGAAAAATATGACTTACTGACTGCACTAATGCAGGAGAACATGCCGGTCCAAATACTGCTGCTGGCACAGCACTGCATGTGGAATTCAGTTTAATGTGCAATAGTGGTGATGAAGTGTTCAGTTATTCCAACATGAATAAGCCATGAGTAATATTTTTTTTTATAAATATATTTTTTAAAGAGTGTAGTAGCATAGTCTCTGAGTCTGTAGTCCTAAGGTTTGGCTTGTTTACCACAAAAATAGAGCTGGCACTGCCTCATTTCAGCAGAATCTACTGCTCTTTCATCAGCTCATTTTTCTTGTATGTACTGGTTCTCATAGGCAAAAACCAAACCCTTGGTTTTCTTCCACAGATTTAACCTGGCATTTTTCTTATAGTGAGTTATTTCTCTGGCCATTTTTTTAGTCTGATCTATCAGGTTGTACTGATGAGTCGAATACAGAATCTAACGCAAATGCTGGGAGATTGTAAGTTTGATCCCCGATGATGCAATAGACATCCGCAAGTGGAACTGTTGATCTAAAATGTATTAACATATTATATACTGAGATGATAATTTGCTGCTGGGACCGTAAATACTACCAGATACACTGTTAAAGCTGAATTATACGTGTGTATCTGAAAACCTGCACAGACGTCTGTATGTGCAGTAGAGCGCAGTATCCAGAATGTACATTAAAAATAGGCAATTCTAACATTTCTTCTCTATTAATTAATACCTACCTGGGTAGCATAAATGTTATGCTGTAATGTCACACCTCTTCCTATTTAGTTCACTCTCTCTATCAGCCAATCCTTGATTTGTTCAATGTGATTTTACTCAAATTCTGGTTTGGGTCCAGTATTGTTTCCATCTCGTCCCACCTCCAATGGACAGCCAACCAGTGTTTGCTTGACGCACAGCTCCACAGATTTTGGAGGCGCACTTTGCATCTTGATGCAGATAAGTTTCCATGCATGTTCGCTGAAGTATAAATCAGCCTTTACACAATCCCTATCCCCCACCCAAAACTCTACCCTGCACTGTAGGCCATTTAGCACATTCACAGAGGTATTCGCTGAGGATGAGGTATTTACAGGTCAGAGGGCATTCTCCTGTGAAAAGTGAGCTAGGTGAGAGTTGAGCTACACAGGTGGAATAAAGATAGATGTGACAGAATGGGAGAATGCAAACCAAGCTGACTCTGCTAAAGAGAAGCTTCAGATTTCTTCAGCAGTCTTTAAGTGCTGTTCTGTCACAGTCAGATTTATGGTAGTCAAGCTGAGAGTTACTAGGGGTTTTGGGTTTGAAAGATGGGGATCATGACTTGTTTGAAAATGAGAGGATTAAGCAGTTGTTTAACCCTTTTTCAAATCAGCCATAAAACACAAATGCTGCCTGTTTAGAGGTCATTCACCTTTTGAATTATGCATTTTTGTTCAGTAACATTCATGGGATATATTCTGTTGAAAATACATATGATGTACAAAACAGACAAACTAGATTGTTATCTTCATAGGTGAGCAAGCAATTCAACACAGTATTTTTGTAGTGTTTAAATTCTATTTTTTATTGTGGCAGTTGTACTTGATTTTTTGAGATGAAAAAAGCTTTATGTTTTATCTCTCTGTCTGGGTTTTATCTTGGCATGGTCGTCTTTGTGGAGAGGTGTGAATTGGTTTCACAGCAGGGTGGTCTCACTCTTCCTGTTTTGGCCCTCATTGCTCGCAAACAGCTCAACACAGACTTTCAATATTTAACATACATAGAGCCAACAATGCGCTAGTTAATCAGATAATGGAGTTACAAGAAAAAAATTGATTTATTATTATTTGACCAATTAAAACCATTCTAGTGAATTTCCATTCCACTAACAGAATAGCCAATCACAAAAGAGGCTACACAAAGAGGTTAAGAAACTGTCCATGGAGAAAGGGCATGTGAGAGAAATAGCTAGAGTGTAATAGAGTGACTGCTGAAATACAGTAAACTGTCTGGAAACCACAGTCTCTATTCCTGTCTCCGCTTTCTTTCTTTCTTTTCTTTGATTCTCTGTTTTCTTTTTTTTGATTCACTTTTTCCTTCTTCTCCCTTCGTTTTGTTCCTCATTTTCTTCCATTCAGTTCACTCTCTCTTTTCTCTGTGGTGGAAATGTCCTTGGTGGAAATCCACAACTGGTTTCGATTATGGTGTTGGTTACTCCCTTTCCAACAATAAGATTACTCACGAGATTGAGAGAGGGGGAGAGAGTGAGAGAGAGAGAGAGGGAGAGGGACAGGGATAAGGGGCTCATACCAGGAAACTTTAACACTTCTCGGTGCACAGTGGGTGTGTATTTGTTTTTGGAGTGGTGTGACTTGCTAACGTAGACCTAATAGTTTACATGGCTGGCATGCAGAGCCAGGGGAAACCAGGTGCTCTTCCACCAGAGAATCTTTCACCACCAAGCACCAAATCAGCCCAGGACAAGTCAGACAGCTGGCCCACTCAGGCAAACAGCTCTGCCCAGTCAATGTACGCACCACCAGCTCTCCTCTAAACATTGCACCAACAATGTCTGGACAAAAGCCATCCAGCCTCACAGAAATCTGATTCCCACATTCAGCCCCTCTAACTGACTCTAACTCACCTAAGGCATTTAAAAAAGGATGCATTTGAGTTGCAAACATATTCTGCTGCATATATATTACCATCTTATAATTATTCATATGTAATCACATAGAATGTAATGTTATGTAATGAAACACTTTATCTTTGATCTTTCTGTCTTTTATCATTTGTTTTGATGTCAAATCAAAACAAAATATCTCTTCTTCTACTCACAAACCCAAACAGCAATGTTTCAATGTTTAAATTATGCACTTTTTAACAGAACTTCTCCCTTTGTTTCCATGAGCTACAAGTGGAAAAAACTGAAACAAAATGCAGAAGCAGGCACCGCAAGGCGTTATTGCCATGGGGCACCCAGGAGGCTTAAAATAATTACATGTAATGAATTCCACAAACTCCACAGGTTTTGGTAATGAGGGAAGGCAAACGTTTTCCCTAAATCATCTGGGAAAAGGTAACCTTTTTATTTTGCACCTATATACCCAAAGACTGCAACATCTAAGAGGAAAAGCAGATGTATTAAACCAGAGCGATCAGAAACAGGGAAATGTCCTTGTATTTAATTCCTTGCTCTTTGTAGTACATTCCTTCCCAGCAAATATACTTTTAGTGTGACTGAGACAGCTTTAATCATAAATACACATGTACTGTAGCTACACTGTAGACTAAAGATGACGTAAATAGTACTATATGTTTCTTTATTTTTAGCTACTACTATTTAATCTATTTTTTGTTCTTATAAGTGTTCTCAGTATTATTGGTTATAACTTTTCTTAATATTTGTCTTACCAGTGTGCCGATCTGTAAAGCGCTGTGAATTACAATTACTTGCAAGAAAGTTGCTATTTAAGATGTGACTGATTAAAAGTGATTTCCCTTGTAACCCAATACAGCTGAAGTGAGTAAAGCAAAGCAGTACAGTCTAGGGTCTAGGTAAGGCAGGCAGGGAAAAGAGCAGAAGCTCACCTGTACTCTGCTCCCCAGCCTTTGACGAAGCTCATGCGTATGGTGCACATACGGGTCAGCTGGTACACAGCCTCAAAGCCCTGGTTCACTGACTGGGCCAAAAGGGCAGCGAACTCCTGATTATTGAAGATCTTCAGATTACAGCCTGATGCAGAGCAAGAACATAAACAATAGATACATTAAACAGATACATCTGAGAGAGGAGAAAGTAATTAGCACTGCATTGATTAGTAGAGAAAATCAATTACTGAAAAATGTTCACATGGATTATTTCATTTTAAACCCAACACAAAAAGTGGCTGTTTCTACTGTTTAATCTGCTGTTCTTCATTAATCATATGATTTCTCAATGTCATTATTGTTGCGTTTATTTGATATTTAAAGGACGTGCTCTAAGAAAGCTGAACATTTGTAGATTTTTATTTACTTTGTCTCACAAATCCCCTTAGTAAACAAGCATACACATTAATAAGAAAATAAGTCACACATCCATAGCTTTGATCTTAATTCTGGTTAAACAAAATGATAATAAGCTCTTACGGATCCAAATCACATTCTGAAAAGCTTGCATGCTCACCAGGAAAAAATAACAGCGCGTTTGACCACAAAGAAAGCCTTATGCCTCTTTTATAGTGACAGAAAACATGGTAGCATACAGAAAGTTCTGATGCTGATAAATTTCTATTATTGTAAGTTAATTATTGTAAATGTTAAAATAACATTCATCAATAGGGTAACTGATTGCAGAAATAATAGGTAGTAGCAGCCCTAAAAGAAACAGATAAATGACTTAAATAAATAAATAAATCATCTCTTCTTAAAACTGTTTGGTTCAGATTCAACAACTTCAACAGAACCGAACAAGATAGTACAGAATATAAAACCAAAGGACAGATAAAACTATTATTTGTTCACTACAGAAACAGCAGATCCATTTAAGTGCTTTTAAGTTGGTGCTTAAGTCTCTCTTTCTGACCTGGTGGAATCTTGCAGACAGTGGCAGGGTGCCAGCCATAGCGCTGGTTACAGTTGGGGCTCTGGACAAAGATGGCACTGTCACTGAGACACTCAGCAAACACCTCACCTCCAATGTAGTATAAACGCACCCCTCGGCCTGTGAAACACACAAACAATATGACTGCTGTCACCAGAAGTCGAATCCAAAGAACTAAAATGGAACATTTAAATTGGTGTGGTTTAAACATTACTTCTACAGCCATCATATCAAATTTCCCTGGTCTTTGGTGCTATTTTGCTTCACTGTGTATTTACAATGACATAAAAGTACTGCTAAGCATTTCCACTGAGAAAAAAATGCACTGCTTCAGTTTAGCTGTCACCACCTTTATTCTAATGTAAAGTGCATTGTAATGTAGGTGCTTACAATAACTGATTTATCTAAATCATCAAACTAATCAATGATCCATCGTTAACCTGTCTAATCCTCATTGCACTTCATTTATGGATTATAGGCTGAAAACAATGCTAAATTATCAGTTATATGTTTCAGTATCAGTGTTAATTACAGATTATCAGCACAGAAATTTTGTATCGGTGTGTTTTTAGCGAGGGGGTCTACCAATATGTCTCCGGGTGAGCTCCACGGCAGCATTGCGGTTAACGTTGGACAGCAGGCCCAGGCAGAAGCGCTCCGAGTTGGATGGGTCAGTGAAGCCGTCTACTGTGAGAGAGGGCTGGGACGCGTGAAAGATTTCACCCACACGCTGGTTCAGCTCATAGTACGATATAGAACACCAGAACGCAGGCTCACAGTATGTCACAGGCTGCAGGTCTGAGAGAGAGAAGAAAGAGAGCGAGAGGATGTGAGAGAAAGACAGAGATAGAAGGCAAAGGAATGGTCAGGGAGGGATATAAAAAGATGAACGGACAAGTCAAAGGACAGAAAGAAGGTTTAAAAATAACAAATGGGTGGAGACTGATGACACGCTGATGTCAACTGCAAGAGCCGATTCCCAGAAATAAAATTCCGGGGCAGTGGAAACACCACCATCACTTGGACGCAAGAAAATTACTGCCTTATGGCAAGAGCTTCCTAAACACACCAAAAGTTCCTGTAACTGCTTAAAAAAAGAATAACGGAAGAAGAAAAGAAAACAAAGAAAGAAAGAAAGAAAGAAAGAAAGAAAAAAAGATGGAACAAAAGAAAGAAAGAGCTGCTGCATGAGTGTAAACGCCCAGCTGAAGTATGTGGAACTGGGGTATTTATTATTACAGCAGTGAGGAAGACGAGCGCCCAGTGGGATTCTCACTTCAGATAATGAAGCACAGGATACTGTAACGTATGTGAAGTGTGGGCGGTATTTGTCCAAGTGCGAGCGCAGAGACTGGACTAAAGAAAGACAAAAGGTTCATTCAGCTGTTGCTTCCTCTGGGGCAGCCACCGGAGGGACAAACTCAAAACACAACATACATGTGTATAGACACCAACAACTGCACACACCTAAAAGTCTTACCTAAGTTGTTGTGTGCTGGAGACACAGGGTTTGGTGACAAGTTTGGAGATCCTGTGGAAAGAGAGGACGAAAGCAGCCATTGATGACTGACCACAATTACACAAACTGCACTGACTGAGTCATGAGTCAATTGCCCACTAAGTCACTCACACTGATCAGGTCTTAGTGAGTGAAGCGCATTAACTTTTTAAGGCTATCCATCTTAAACCTTTTATGCCGTTTTATCCACTTTTGTTAGAAACAATGTGATTTTTCATTCTAGATCTGTGGCTGAGTCAAATGGTCAAATTAAGAAAATGTGTCAAAATAGAAAAACATTATTAACGCATTAACTCTGACACCACTGTTAACCATGTAAGTACTTATGGAGGTGTGAATCAAATGTAAACAACTTTTGGCTTCTAAGGGTTTGTAAAAACATCATAACCTGATCTTTATGCTATACCACGTCCCCTCTCTGCTAATTTCACTCCATGGTATCCCTGGAGCACATGGAGATGAGGTGCTAGCCTACACATATTACTAACAGCACAACTCAATATTTGTTTTAAGGACCTGTGTTTAACATAGCTATGTGGACCTTTCCTTACTTTCCAAAATAGACTAGGTAAACCTGTAAGGTAACCTTGTAGAGTGAGAGGAGGTGGAGGGGGTGAGAATATAAGAAAACCTTGTATCCCTAAAAGGGTACCTTTATATGAGAAGGAAAAAATGTATTGTACATTAACAAACACACATAACAAGATTTAAATTTAATTTTGAGTGATTTACTTGTGGATCGTTCCATTTGTCATAAAATGTTCCTACAAAGTAAAGGGCAGCTGGTATTTTCAAATTTTCAGGAGAAAAACAGTTACAAGGATAGAGTTACAAGGTATTCATAAGACAGTGATAGTATGTCTGTAGGTCTTTGTCTGTTAATAACACACCTGTGTCCATGCTATGGTTCATCTGATGGTCACTGGTCTCCCCATCCTCACTGAGGTAACCTGGAGGTGGTGTTTCTGAAACACAAACGCGCACACAAACACACACAGAAACACACACCCAAAGGATGGTGAAGACTAGGGCTACAAACACATGCACATCCTCGCACCCTGAACTGCTGACAGGTGCAGTACACAGACAATGACTCATGAGGTCTTTTCCTCAGACTGAGTTTTCTATTTAGAGTCAGACTCAGTTCACCTTCAACAGCAGCAAAAGTACAGCTCTGCTCAGGAAATGGAAAAACAAACTACTGTATTACAGTAACTGACCACATTTCCAAACCTTGAATTGAATACCATTCCAATGACGCAAGTCAAAGAATACACCCTGCGGCATATACGGCACATGTAGAGCTGAGGAGACTTTTCCTTAGGCACAACTGCCTTTAAAGATGAGGCAAAAAAGCCTCTTTCTGCGGTTTAATCTACTTTTGAGAAAATGTGACTTTTGAGTGTTGTTGTTACATTTATCTTGATTCATGTTCTAATAAAATCATGAATTCATAGTTTATCCTCTTGTTTGTGTTACAAACTATCAGACTATGAATATGAAAAGGAACAAACCTCACATTTCTATAGTTACTCTCATGAAAAAAAAACCTTTTCAATAGTGATTTGAATTCTGAATTCTATCACAGTACATCCAACAATAAGGGCAGCACGGACCTCTTTTATACAGTGATAGGAAAGATATTAGCACAGAGAGCTCAAATGTAACATGCTGATCCGTCCTATTATGGCCATATACTCTTACATATGTCATTTTCTTTTCCCGTCTGCTTCAGGGAGTTGACTCTTATCTTTCTGTCATTATTTAAGATGCATGTTCAATGGAGCTCAGGTCATGTCACTAAGTCAGACAATCAAGAGTATTTCTCTTCGTAACCTTAAAAAGCTTATCATTTGTTTTAGTACTATGTTTCAGCTGCTTCTTCAACTGTCCAACTGCAAAGTGAAGCATCATTCACAGTGCTTTCAAGTCTCAGAACTCTACAGGCATTTTTATGCACTTTCTAGCATACTGTAACCTGGACTTCCTGTACATGAGGTTTGCATCTTGTGGTAAACCATTCAGTGTAGTCTTGTCTTTATGGTAGACTGACACACCTACGTCTACATCCTGGAAAGTGTTCTTCATCAATAGTTTTTCTTCATGATTTAGAGTGCGCATCTTTAGTAGGTTGTTTGCTATTGTGAAGCTCACTAGTTGCTTCTTAATAATGCACCATCAGAAACCAAGCTGGCTGGCTCAGCTTGGTTTATTATGATTTCACTGGTTTATTCTGAATGTTTAGCCTTATGGCTGCTTTACTTGACACTTCTTTAGTCTGCGCAGCCAATAAAAATGGCCACAACTGAACAGCCAACTGTCTAATCGCCAATGTACCCCATCATAGTTAAAAAAAAAAAAATCAAAAGGACTGTAATTTCTACACTGTTCATCTAGTCCCGCTATTAAACCCCCTTAAATTAGAGATGCTACTCTGCACTTCAGCCTTGCAATCGCTTTATTTAAAATCCAACATACTAGAGTACAGAGCTAAAACAACACAATCTGTATCCCCGTTCAGTTACTTATGGACCATGATCTTTGAGCGTGCATGTACGGCTATAGTACCGTAAGGAAACATCTGGAATCACTTGAAGTATTAATATTTGTTGTTATTTTATTAAACTATAACTACTTGGTCCCATGCCTTCAGCATAGCCAGACAATGAGAGGAGACTGTAAGACGGGAAAGAAAAGAAGCAGATTCTGCTTTAAGCTAGAAGGCCAGACACCCACACCCTCCCCCACTCCCCGATAAACAGAAGTAGGACTGACAGATAAGACTGAGGAACAGGCAGGAGATGGGGTGCGAAAACTTCATAGGATGGTAGATTGGAAGGAAAAGGGGCATGGTCCCCCTCCCAAACGTCTGGCATTTTTGGCGTTTTATTCAAAGTATTGAGAGAGCAACAATAACTTATTCAATTATACATAACATATTGCAGCTGTCCAGTCATATTACTTTCTTGTCCAGTTATCTGTCTACATTTAAAACTGATGAAGCTGTCGAGATCTAAAAGACATTAGAATATTTACTATAACAGAATGTTATTATATAACAGAATTGTTTTAATATTATTAAAAATAATTTCAAAGTTTTGAACAGCACACACACACACTCTGAGGGTGTGTAGGTGTGCGTCTATGAGGCAGTGTCTGCTGGTCTCTCAAACTGCTCCCTGGGGTGCCTCAGTTCCACGTGTATGAGGCAGTATTACTGCGGCTGGCCCCTGCTGGGTGGCTGGGCAGCTGGGCTGCTTGGAGTGGACTGAGGAAATGGGGGCCATGAGCTAAACTGTTTCTCTGTCTGTCTGCCTGGCCTGCTCTGCCTCCTTATGCCTGCCAGCTTACTGCCTTCACCACAAGAAGAGCTGTGACTACAGACAAGGCTTATTCAGTTAGACCCCGGAAACAGCCAGCATACAAGCAAATCATCTCAAAAGCATTTGCAGCAACCAGCGATCTTTCACTTTTACTCGTCTTGCTGTATCTTTTAGCCTCGTCTCACAAGTGACTAGAACAGCAGTTTCGGTTAATACGTTTTTAGGTGTTGTATGACACTGTAATGTCACACCCCACAAACTCCTACACTTTCCTAGACACTTCTACAAAACTGATTATAATCGCTTATAACAATGTTTAATAAAGTATGTGCTAATTTTTCGGCCAGACTAAAATTTTGCACTTTTAAACTAATTCTGAATCTTACCAAGATTATCAAATCAAATCGTGGTGAAATCTGAAATTGCATGATGCATTGAATCTTTTCTAAAGAATCGTAATTGACTTAAATCGTTTTAAGGACAGAAATTTACACCCTTACTTCATACTCATTTACCTAGGATTTATACCAGTGACACAAGTACCTGGGATATAGTTGCTCTGAGGCTCGATGCCAGCAGGAAAGTTTGTGTTTTCAGGGATGGAGTGGCTATAATCGTCCAGAGGAGGAAACTCACTCGGGATCTCTGTGTGGCGAGGCACCAGCACTGGCGGCAGGACTAGTGAGACGGAAAGAAAAAGAGAAGAGGGTATTAGCACAAATTCTAAGAGTGCCTTTCATCTTCCCAAAAAACTCAAGAACCACAAGTTTTTGCATTCAATACACATTGCAAATCTTGCTCTTATTTGTATGCTTACTATAGATGAATCAGTTTTTGTTTTATCTTGCTATTTAGTGTTCCGTAGTCTTTAATTTTGCTCTCCACCAGCCTAATCCTGTACTAGAAGACTAAAGCTCCACAAAGGCTACATTATGGCTGAAAATGTGATTTTTGCTTACTCTTAATCTACTGTTCTCCTTTAACAATGTTCAATTTTGTAGATTTTTATTTTGCTCGTGTTGGAAACTACCACTTTACACAAGAAAACACATGAATATACTACACTTCTGTAGCCTTGTATTGTTACTATGATGAAAGAAATCAATAAAACACCCTCAGCGATCTGAACTCAGGAATAGCAGTGCATTCAACAATAAAAGGCAGCACTGCAGTTTTTGTAAACAGTCATAGAAAACACAGTAGAACACAGAAATGCTGATCTATTTTACTATGCCTACCATGTACATGCATGTCAATTACTCAGGAAGACGATTTTAACAAGTTAAAGGTGACAAAGCCAAAATGTCTGCATATATCAACAACAAAGCACTGGTAAAAACAGATTTATCTTTGTGGGTTTTCTGCTTCTCTAAATCCAGCAGTATACTTCAAACGGAAAAGAAGCAAAACAACATTTTTGGCCAAAATGATGCAGTAGTTTGAGTTCATATGGTATGGTGTGCACTGTCTGCTAAGCAGAACTGTTATTCACCATTACTTGTTCAGAGACATTCTGACTGTGATTGGTCCACGTCACATGACAACCCACGTCATTACATGGAGCGGGCCTCTTGCAGTGCCCGTTGTTAAAAAGCTGCACACTGAGGTTTTCAAGTATACTTAAGAAATGCAGTTTGATTTAATTTAGTTTTTTGTTGTTTAAAATATATCACTGGTTTAAGAATGCAGCAAGGTCTGTTTCTTACCCGGTGTCTCTACACGCTGGTAGTGGTATGGGTTCACACAAACCTCGTCCTTCTTCATGTGAAAGGCGAACTCACACAGCTCCACGGCTCTCAGCTCATGGTGTGACTGCAAGTCCGGCCAACGCCACAGCCGGCAATAGATCACGTGGGGGAGACCTTTTCGATGGGACACTTGCAAGCGCCCATCCAGAGACCTGGAAGAAAGAAAGTGCAAAGACAGAGAGAGAGAGAGAGAGACCCAAAGTCATGATTAATTGCATGTCAGTTTATCCTTTATGTGCTACTCAGACAAAAAAACATAACTTGAGATCACTGTGTGACCAAAACTCTAAAAACTGTAAAATTTGTAAAAATCTATTTCATTACAATATAAGCAATTATAAACACTCTCATAACTACATGCCTTACCTAGTGCCTCAATAATTCATATTAGTTACTGGATAAAAACCTTACTAATTAAATAATAAGCTTTGAGTCTAACAGGTTAAACTATTAGCACCAGCAGATTTGCTGAGACCACAGATAACGGGCTCAGTTTCCTGTGAAAAGACCTCCTGCTTTCATTTACGCACTTGAGCACGAAAAGGAAAAGTGACAGGAAGTGTAAATACGAGAGGTTTTACATGATCAGGTGTGTGTGGTGCGTTTTAAAGTGGCATATCAAGTGACATCAAGGTTGGTGGTAATCCTGAGCTGAAGTTTAAACCTCATACAGCTGACTAGTTTAATGCTGATAAAGCTTGCAGCCCCTCCTTATGCTGTTCCAGATGAGCAGCGAGCCTCCAGCATCATCAGAATCCACTCAGCCATGCTAACACCATCTTACATGGGCTTATGAGACCACCAGTAGGCATCTCTCTCTCTCTCACACACACACACACACAAGCACACACTACACATATGTTTAACACAAACATGGATACACACACACAACCACACATACGTGCACACAAACCCAAATGCTTCAACACTTGATGACGGCAAAGCCCACAGGCTCTTCAAGCCACATCTGCTAAACTGTAGAAAACAAGGACTTCTAGACCGTCTCAGTAGGGGTGGGAAATATTGCAAAAATATTACAATGCATTGCGTCATGATATTTCATTTTTTGAGGTCTACAAGAACACACGTAATACACCATTAGTATCACATTTCATAAACTGCTGTAAAATAGATGAGCACAGTGGCTTTTCTTTTAATTCAACACATATTGCATTACATTCTAAACAGCAGGGCTAATTAACCTCTTTTGGACTCTTGGCATTGCCAGCATTCAAGCTCACAATGTCCTGACTACAGGTCAAAACCTTTAATGGAGAAAATAAAGCCTTTAAAAAGACTTCAAACCTTCCAACAACAAACCAAGACTTCGAACCTTTCAAACCACTTGTTTTTGTGATGAAACGAAAACCAACTCATTTACATATATCTACCCATTCAGACTACAGAAGTTTAGCCCTGCCCATTCATGCTGAAGCTATAGGGAGTGTTTCGGCCTGGACTGCTTTTTTAATGAAGCGCAATACAAGACAGACAATTAGAACAGAGCTCATTTACATATATCAGTCTTAAAGGCACAGTAACAAAAAAAAGCTTGTTTAAATTTAGGGGATAATTTTAAGGTTCGAAAATGGTCACATGAAAAGGAATAATGACATTATAACGTTTAATGTTTGACGATGTTTTTGGTGCATAAACCCATAAAAACATTACAGAACTTAGAATAGAAACAGTAGAACTAGAATAAAACACAAAACATAAAAACAAAAAGATATGGGCCTTTTAAAATATGCATTATCTTAAAGAAAATTTGCTGTTGATTCATCAAGAAGGTAAATCTGAATCTATATTTTTTCGATTATCGTGACAGCCCTACTTGAGAGCCTCTTCTAAAATTCACTGAGGTTTATCATTGTTCTAGAAGTATTGAGGATCCTCACAATATGCTCAGAAAAGTGTATTATGACATGCTTTATTCTGATAATGATCTCATATCACCATACTGCCCACTTCTCTCCCCTCTCTCATACTGACCCCCACCCCCATCTGAGGCACCCGTCCGGGTGCCGAGCTTTGAATGGGACAGGCCAGCTCAGACACTGGGACCGCCAGGAGATCTCTGCCAGGGCCTGCTATAGCACTCTCAGCAGCAAAATGTGCTTTCAATTTTTCATAGCAAAGCTTTCACTTCACTGGCAGTAAGGGAGAGGGAAAAAAACGATGTAAAAACCAAAAAACCAGACGTCCCATTGAGAGAGTGCGGGTGTATGAGTGTGTGCGTCCGTGAGAGAAGCTGAGAGAGAGGGAAGGAGAGCGGGAGGGAGGGACAGACAGAGAGGAAAAGAGAGAATTACAACAGCAAATCTAGAAAATAAAAAGCTCCATTAGAAATGAATTATGTAATGCGGCTCTTGGTTTATTCAGCCATGGCCTGATTTTTTAAATAATCCACAGCTCTTATTTAATAAAACTCTATACAAGCAAGGGCAAGGTCCCTCATTCTCCCTCTAAACACGCGCAGTCAGGGTCAGCGGCCGGACTGCAAGAGGAAGGGCAGGGCTGTGCTACAGCCTCTGCAAGTAAACTCACTGTCATTTCCTCTGGTTTACACTTCAGTGCTCCACCAGCTACAAAGGCAAATTAAGGTTAATGGAGAGAGAGAGAGAGAGAGAGAGAGAGAGAGAGAGAGAGAGAAGAAATAATTTACAAGCCAAGCATCTCAAAGATACTGAAATTTTCATTAAACCACACTCTCCCAATCAGGCGTAGCCTAAACAATATCACTAAGGCGGATACCAACCTCTAAGCAAGTAGGAACCAGAAAAAACAAATGTGAAATGATTTATTTTGTTAACATCTTCCTAAATTAACACAGAATTGATGTTTCTGTTTCAAATTAAATTGAAATTTATTCTATTATCATCTATCATTATTCTATTGCAGATATGGAAAGTGATGGAAAAAAACACTGAAGGTCATTCAGGGCTGAGTTTTCACAAAAGCGACTTAGCACAAATATGGTTCATAAATGGGAGAGCAAGTATCACACTGACCACTCTCTCTACCAGAGTGCGTCTACTAAGATGATCTTAACATTAAGATGCCTTTGGGAAACTGGGTCCAGAGTGGTTTTATGAGAAACTGTTCATTGGAGAGAGCCTTACTGACTCAGATATCCTTACAATAGTGGTGATAAGACCCAGGAGTTGCAAATATAGCCATATTTATTTACTATCCAAAACAACCAGTGAACCTACATGCCTTACTTATACTTCTCTGCCATAAATGCATTTAAAAAATACATTTTAGGCCTAAAAGCGTAGCTCAAAATGATCATAAAATAATCTCTTAGGCAACAAAATTGTAATTATTTCATGTAACAGCTTCCTGTGAAGGAGTTTTTAGAGGCATTAAACACTTAAGACAACTTATGGTCGCTGTTGCGAACATCTGAGCAATTTAATCATGCAGAATGCTGAAAATCTGCAATTATAAAAGCATTGTTGCTCACTTAAGAAATAACATCCACAATATTTTACTGAAATTAAATATAAGGAAGGCCCTTTCGGCTAGTTTTACAATTTGATCCTTTCAAACTAGCTGTCTAAAGAAAAAGACACTAGTTTAATTGTTTTGCTCACATCTCAGAATGAGCATTCTGATGCATACTGCCACAAAAACCATACATTTTAATCACACGGCAGAATGTACTCAGCAGCTCAAACTGTGATTTAGGAACAGTACACCAAGAAGGCTAATGCAAAAAAAGCCACATGTTAAACATCTGTGATCAAAATCTCCTCAGGAATGGCTACACTGCAGTCCCCTAAAGTCATTCCTCCAGCACATATGCATAATGCATGACTGCTGCATTATGCACTTTAGATATGCATCAGTGGCACCCATGACACGCTCTTACCCCACATACCCTGAGTGAAAGACAGAGAGAGCGTGCCAGAGAGAGAGAGAGAGAGAAAGAGAGAGAGAGAGAGAGAGAGAGAGAGAGAGAGAGAGAGATGGAAAAGGTTATCCTGGTTCAGCAATGCTCCCCAAGCTCTTTAGGAATCCAGGGCACAGATACCATTCATGTCACATATTCTTGGCAGATAGGGAGGGACGGTAGACAGAGAAATATATATGCACTTAAACTTCATACATATATATATATATATATATATATATATATATATATATATATATATATATATATATATATACACATTTACTGCTGAGGTAAGACTTTTGCACAGTACTGTATGTGGATGAACGGACGGATGAATGTCACTTGTGATGGTGAAATGTCTCAGAACACTGTTTTAAGGTCATGGTGCAATGAGCAGGAATTTTAAATATGCTAACCTTTCTTGGGGTAAAAATTCAGTACAATAATGGCAAAAGTCTCTTTCACTTGAATGCTCAGTTTTGCCTTGCGTCACTATTCAATTCTTTTACAATTGAGTCACAGCACTCAGGCTACATTATCAGACTACACTTGCCCATTGTGTACGATTGGCAAACCTGGCAGGGTTTCTGCTTTCTGCTGACTGATTATTGATTTTGCTCTGGGGGAAATTACAGCACTGGAGGTTCTATAAACAGAGACACAAATACACATATCCAGAGGGAAGGTCTGTCCCACTAACCCCTGAGTTCCCCCTGTGTACCGGCTGCCACTCGAGTAGAGAAATGGGGGAGATTTGGGTAAAAGGGGAGGTAGGAGGAGGGAGAAAAACACAGAAGTGGGAGCGCAATGGAGAAGTGGAATCGTGGGGGGTGAAAGAGATGACCCCACAAGGACTGAAGCTGGTGGGGAGATTTAGTCTGTGGAGTTGCCAGCAGACACTGTGAGTGAGACTCAAGATCCAACACAAACTATTAACTTCAGCACTGCACCACATACTACAGTAACTACATGAGCTTTCCAGTATGCTGTAATTTTCTTAGAAATTTCATAGCTATAAATTTATATCAAATAATAAAATACTTGTTCATGCTCGTTATACAATTGTATTATGTGCATTTTCCAGTAACCGACTTTTTCATACAATTAATTTGTATTACTGAATCTATTCTTGCTACTTATCTTGTTCGTTTTTCATTTTAGAGTTAAAAAGTGATGTGTTAGAATGATGCCTAGCAATCCCACAGAGTGAGGTTTCTAGATTTTAGATTAAAACATAAACAAATACCACCG